CACTCTAGGAACATTACAAAGAATATTTAGATTGGCTCAGTCAAAGGGGGCGTGCGAGCAGATCTATTTTCATAACACAAAAACATTAGAATAAACAAAGATGCAACCACGTAAGTACACACGAAACATCAAACAAAGCGCTATCTTTTATTGCTAAAAAGTTGCAGACAAAAACTGCAGGAAAATGACTTTCGCTTGGCCATACACTCTGTCATCCTTGCAACTAAGAGCATGTAGAAACACGAACAAACACAAAAACACTCGGGCTTAATGCTTGAGTCATCTGAGGAATGCTAAATATTTACCTCTCCTGCCTGCCTGGATGACTCCACCAATAAGGACAACTCTCTTTGACTGTCCATTAACCTACCATTTAAAGATTCTGCACTGCCTGGATGTTACAGCAGCACTGAAACGGATTAAGGCCATCTCTGCTCTGATAGTTCTACTTTTGCATTTTTGTGCTTTTCCTTCCAGCATTAGATCTCACACAGGATGCAGTTTCAGGCAGTTGGGAGGGAAACAAACACTTGAACATATAATGGAGTCACTCCCTGTGGATGTCAACAACAAACTGATAAATGCTCAAAGGCCCTCTTCTATCCATTTGTACCAGAAAATTGCAGCTCGACATTGAGCGCATCCTCGACATGATCGACTGAATGATGTCCATTACAAAACACTGGTTTTATGGCAATATGCTGCTGTAGCATCGAAATGTTCCAGTGTTACCCAAACAGCCTCAACCCCCTGACAGTGCTGCATAAAATAAACAATGCTGATGCACAAAAGGCCAAGCAGCGACCTGTCTCGTGCTGTGGGAGTTTCACTGTGTGGAATACTGGCTGATGACTGCGCACAGTGCACATCCTTCCGATCCCAGTAGTCTTTTTAGCAAATAAATGAGACTGAAGTATGAAACTGAAATAGCTGTCACACTGCTCTACTTTCATTATCACTGTTATGGGAAATTAATCTTATGAATGTTTTTGAATTCCCCACAGGGACCCCAAAGCTTTTGTAACAAAGGGAGCTATTAGAAATGTGACACTTGTTTGAAATTAATGGTTGTGCATGTAAAATGAACCCTACTAGAGATATGCTATAAAAGTCTGTTTGCTTATAATGAATTTTGGAGCTGGGAGTGGGATGCATAACAGTGATGGGGAGAATCACAGCGAGTGCTACTTATTTGCATGATATGATCGTTAATGTGACTCGATCACTTTTTCATTCATGAGCGAATGGTGGAGTCATTTGCTCACACTGCTGACTGTGCATCGCTGGCACTGGGCGACTCGAACATCATATTTTTAATGATGTTGCTAATAACAATAAACAGGGAGGAAAGAAATGCATCACAGGAGTTACAGTTGTTGATAGCTGACAGCTTACAGAAAATATGCTCTTAATAAATAGTGTTCACATCCTGTTTCGACGTTCCACTCAAAGGTAGACTCAGTTAGAAAAATTGAGGTAGCGTGTGGATTCAGGGTGCTCACTTCCTGTTCTTGTTCTAGCACTGATGCAATGTGAAAAAAGCAGGCGTGGACATGCTTGAGCTATGCAGCCTCCCTGCACCCCTCATATACTTGTCCATACAGGCCACAAGTCAGGTTTAGTGCAGAAAAGGACTCAGAAAGAGGTTCGGAAACAGTCTTATTAACTGGAGACCTGTTTAGACTTTGAGATTCTGCACATGTGACAATACTAAGTGACACAGGAAGTAGGAGAGAATGCACAGCTGCCTCGGTGGCACTGATGTTTGCTAAAGATACTGCATATCTGTTGATTCTGTGTTACTCATAAAACATGGATTAATATGAAGCAGAAGCTAAGCATTTAGGCTCATACTTAAGCTGCCGTGTTTCTGGAACTGGAGATATAAGGCTAGAGCTTATCTATTTAGCATTAATATTCTACAAACACACTTGTTTGCTTCATCTATTGTAAGAGTCTTATTGCTGTGATACTTTCAATCTTTGTTCTTTTGGTGATGTGGGAATTAAATCTTATTTTGCTTGCCCACTCTTTGTAACACTCTAACAAGAACAGAGAGAAATCACATTCAAATGTAGTTTTCCTCTGCGAGTGATCCACTTCATATCTGCTTGCTTCCATGTTAGAGATTAGAGGGAAATTAGATGGAATTAAAAAGAATTAATCCAAACTGTGTTGACAATCAAAGATAAAACTGTGGATTTTGTAGTTCTGTCATAGTGTGCTGTATGCATGCTGATGACTTCCCGAGGGGAGGGTGATCTGTGATGGATGTTAGGTGTGGTTAGAATCCCAGGGGAAAAATTAAGTGCCTCTGTGGAGGCTTCTCCATGGTAGTTTTCCCTTTTGGCAATGTAAGTACATGTCAGATATCAAAACAAACACTGTAACTAACATAACATGAAGGCATTGCTTCAGAATTTAACACACTACATGTTCAGTGTTTGTGTCGATGTATGCTTCTAATTTTAAGATGACAAATAAAAGGCTTGAACTGTTACTAATATTGACACTAAGATGGAGTTTTATGATGTGTAAGAAGGGTCAGTGGATGATAATCTGAAAGTTAAAAAGTAATGAGGGAAGACTCGCCACTTTGCTGTAAAACATGTTTCTCTTCCCTTTCCAACAGTTAAACCTTGTAGTCAGTACTCATTCTCCAACTACTCAACTGGAACTGCTGTTTTTTGAAGATTTTGTGGCAGAAAAATCAAGGGCAGAAAGAAAAACTGTTTTCTTTTAAGAGTGTACTTGTTTGTCTTCTCCTTTCAGGTTTAAACGAGACCTTGTTGTGCAATCTAGTCTTTACTTGCCTACCAAAAGGATTTGCTGTCGATTTACTGTGATGGGTATGGGTAGTGACAGGAAATCTGCCTGAAGAGACAAATTCAAACTTTCAAACTGAAAATGGTTACCAATCAGTTTAATCACAGGAAGCTGAAACTGTAAATGTTGAACATTCTGCCTCTATAGCTGAGAGAACTACACACTGTGTAATGATATCCTGTTGGGCTATTTATGAGCATAAAGTATGAATATTTTATTTCTTTTCACTGCTTTCTTTCTGCAGGTATAATTATAAATTTTTTTGTCTATACACAAATTTAAATGCGCTCAAACTGAGCTGTAAAAAGTTTATGTGGATATTAAAACAATTGAATAGTTGTATAATAACTTTATCGGAACAGACATTAAAATGAAAAATTAAATTCATTTTCTTTATAATTCAGGCAACAATGGATGCGTTCAATGCCAAGGACATGGCCATGAAGGCACAGAAGAAAATCCTCAGCAGCATGGCCACAAAAAGCTCTGTACAAATGTTCATTGATGACACCACCAGTGAGATCCTAGATGAACTGTACCGGGTCTCCAGAGACTACTTGGGAAATAAATCAGAGGCTCAGAAAGTCATCAAAGACCTCATCAAGATTGCAGTCAAGATTGGCGTCCTTTTCAGGAACAACCGCTTCAGCACAGAAGAGCTGGCAGTGGCCCAAGACTTTAAGAAGAAGCTCCACCAGGGAGCAATGACAGCTATCAGTTTCTATGAGGTACGCTTCCCAACTTTAAATTTTTAATGCATGATGTATGAGTAAGCATACATCACCTGAAAGAAAATTTTGCTAATGCACATGTTTTCTAGCTCCAATTGCAAAAAAATGGCAATTACTCTCAAATGGGGAAAATGTTTTGCGCACAGCATGAACTTCAAGGCTGGAAAATCAGGCAACTTCAAGAGGTTTCTGACCTTAGTTTTTCCACAATAAATGCAATTTGCAGTTGTGTTAATATTTCCAATTAAAACAGATAAATAAATATATTAATCACATGGCATCAAAACGTCCAGGTTAATTCACTGTTGAATAGGATTCTCTTATGCATCAACGCGTGGCTCAGACGTTGCTTTAAAGGGTCGCTTGTTTTATTTCAGTTCCACATAATCAAGTGCTTGTTTCTCTGCTTTGGTAATGTGAGAGAACAATAAGTTGATATTGAAACTTTTGTATTGGGATTAAAATTGAATTTGCAAGAAGATTAATGATGCAAAATAACAAATATATGCAATCTCTAAGAAGTCTTTAAACCTGGTAGAATATTCATACATCATATCCTGCTACTTCACGGTAAGATATTATACAATTTGACTTGTATGAAATACCTAACATGAATGCATGTCTTGTCTGATGCAGGTGGACTTTACCTTTGAAAAAACAGTGATGGCAGACATCCTGACCAGCTGCAGGGATCTGCTGCTGAAACTGGTCAACACCCACCTCACCACTAAATCTCATGGTCGCATCAACCATGTCTTCAACCATTACTCCGACCCACAGCTCCTGACCCAACTGTACAACCCTGATGGGCCCTTCAGACCCAATCTCACCAAGATCTGTAAAGGACTGAATAAACTAGTGGAGGATGGGACAATATGACATCAGAACTAAATTTCAAACAGACACTGGGAGATCAACAGACAGACTCAACTAAGACTCTGAACTGCTTGTTTTTCTGTTACTGAGGACTGGCGACCTAAAACAAGTCATTTGGGAACCAACCTGCTTTCCCACAGTTCTCAAAGAACATGAGGGATACAAAAAAAGCTTTGTGGAGTCATTCAAGTTTTTGATATTGTGGGGCCATAAATATATATTATGTAAGTGATGCTAATCTTCTATTCAGACAGTGTCCAGAGAAAACAAACTTGAAATTAAACAGATATATTCTGCATTGATTATTTTACTAGCACACAAAGTATCATCTAATATTTGTGACTTTGAAATGTATTATTCAGAACTACTGATATTATGCATTATAATCACTGATATGAATCAGCTGGACCGATGCATAAGCAAGTTAGGCCTGGGAACAATACCACTATAGTACATCACTGCCATCTGGTGGTTAAGATGATGCTTCTGCAGCAACAAACTGTATTTACTGAGGTGTCCAGACAACAATCAAGCCAAAAATAAAGATAATGACCCCAGAGTGCACAATTACTGCGACCATGACTGTATTTTAAAAACATGTTTAGCTCAACAAAAAGACAGACTCTTTACTCATGACTGCTTGAACATCCAATCTATAATTCACGATTTTTGGATCACAGTAGGGCTTAAAAAAAATGTTTAAATTCATTGGCCTACCGGCTATTCGTTGGTCTTATATGGCAGTTAAAACAGATAAAAATCAACTCCAATTGGACATTAAATCTCCCAAAACAGCTAAATCTACATGTTATACTAAAATAAATATTTGTTAGCAGTAATGTGAACAAATCTAATTTAACATGGGATAAAAATATGTATTTTAAAACAAACAATACAAAATTGAAAAGACATTAGAAATATAACCTCAACAATACAATTATTGCTATCAAATATTCTAAAGCCTACAACATTTTTTCTTGCATTTTCAGCATTAATAGAAAAACCATCATTCTAACCAGTTCATTGTCATCATCATTATTACAGTAAACACAACTTGTGTTTTAGATTCCATTTCCTAACATTACAAGTCTGAAAATATGAGGCAGTTACACACAAACCCTTTTTGTGTTGACCATATGATCATCTGACTATAAATATGATTGATTTTTAATTCTTCAAATTTCAAGTTTCCAACTTCCCAGATGTGAATAGTCATATGAAGCTTCTCACAACCTACAGTATGTCTCACCAAATAAATAACAAGTCTACAATTGTGCAATATAAAATTTTAAATGGAAGTGTGAAAACACTTTTATACTTTAAGTAGCAGCGGGATCACCGGGGATTCCTTTTCATTCCTTTATCCGTAACGCTCCGTTATTCTGGAGATCAAACAGCGCATCACGGCTCCCTGGGAAAGCTCCATTAATGTTCTGAGTGACAGACATGTCACAGTTCAAAGATCTCATCTTCCTTGTCTCTCAGTTTCCTGGTCAGTTTGGTGACAGTGAGTGGTAGTGTCCCCTGTACTGCCATCCTGGAAGATGAAATGACACTCTGTGACCTCGTAAGCGGCCGGCAATCTGATGTCCTGTTGTTGCAAGTTGCTTCTAGTGCAGCAAACCTGGCAAATAACATAAATATATATAACAGAGCAAGTCATTCAGAGTGTACTGATCTTAGGCTAAATTCATTGGTATTCTTAAAAAAATATTGCTGTTGCACTGGTACTATCACCAGGCCATTAGAAACTGCATTTAAAGCAACTATTAAGCAGCTATTGGGGCGATCGTGGCTCAAGAGTTGGGCGTTCGTCCTGTAATCGGAAGGTTGCCGGTTCGAGCCCCGGCTCCGACAGTCTCGGTTGTTGTGTCCTTGGGCAAGACACTTCACTCGTTGCCTACTGGTGGTGGTCAGAGGGCCCGGTGGCGCCAGTGTCAGGCAGCCTCGCCTCTGTCAGTGCACCCCAGGGTGGCTGTGGCTACAATGTAGCTTGCCATCACCAATGTGTGTGTGAATGGGTGGATGACTGTGTATAGTGTAAAGCGCTTTGGGGTCCTTAGGACCAAGTAAAGCGCTATACAAATACAGGCCATTTACCATTTAAGCATTGGGAATCTTTTGAACAGCCACATTGTGAGTGGTTGATCAAATATTAAGAAGGCCAGAAAGGTGGATGACTATACTTGACATGACAACCTAGGCTAATCTGACTATCAGATACTATCCATGTATATCTATGCTTAGCATCAAAATGCATTATATTTGACCATGACCTCAACATTATTTACACAGTGAAGGTACAATATTTGCAAATTACACTGCCACTGACCATTTCTCATGCAGTAATATGTTCCAATATTAACCTGTCTCTGTAATGCTATAAATGACCCTGACTGGACAACAACTGTGCAAAGAAAAGAGCAACCAGCGACAGGCACAGTTATACCTTTTCTCTGCTTCCTGGCATCCTTTGACTGCAGCCTGCTTGGACTGGCTTATCAAGTCATCCAACCTTTTCAAAAAATCCCCTGGAGTGAGATCTTTTCTGTCTTCTTGCTTTTTCTCAGAGGAACTCCCTATGTGTCCATTGTGAAGTGAAGCAGAGTTAGCACTGCCTTTGTTGCCATCCTCTTCTGCCACATCCAACCCATTACTGCAGTCATCCAGGTCTGATATCACAGGGATTGTCAAAGACTTCTTCAGGAATATTGAGTCATTGGTGTAAAGCCTGTTTGCTCTTTTGATTTGCTCCATCTGAAAGAGAAGATGTCCTTGTCAACCTTTTGTTAATTAGTATTAGACTTGGCTAAATCAAGTCTCACTTTTACCGAGATCAGTAGGCAGACAGGAAACCAAATAAATAAATGCCATTTTAAGGCAAACACTTTTTCAGAGTATGCCCTAACAGCTGAATAAACAATTTAATTATGTAGTTGAACGTTTTGTTAAACCACTGAGATAACCTACCGCAATAAATATGAAAATAAAACAACGACTATAAGAAAAGTGAATATTCACCCACATTTACTTTTCAGTATTGGCAAATCAAGTATTCAGTTAGAAGACATCATATCGCAACAAGTAAATTTCAACATAAGCTTAATATGAACTGTTAAAGGCGCAAAAAAATGAATACTTTAACTAATTCAGTCTCAGAGTCAAATCAACACAGTCATACTCACAGACACTCCATACTTCAGCGCCAGGCCTTGCAGTGTCTCTCCCGGCTGAATTATATGTTCAATGCGTCTCTGGTGCACCGGGGACAGCGGAGATCGGATCAAACTGCCGTAAGATCTTGTGCGGTTCCCTCGGAGTAGGCCGTCCCCTCCGGCTGGTAGTGGAGCTCGCTCCCCTGACATTGTCGTAAAACACTTATATTGTTCTTTTTTCGCGTGGTAAACAACCATGTGGGCCTAAAATGCGCTTACCAGCGAACTTCACTGCTGATAACATCTTCACAATAATTTCCGCTTTAGCCCATAACTATCAAACTAGCAGCTTAGTTAGCCTGCTAGCTAAGGCTATCAACTTAATTAATGTCGCGCGTTATTTTTCGAAGCGTTCAATATTTTCTCCCAAATGACAGCCGTTTAAACTCTATAGAAAGTTTCTTGGATTACAAATATAACGTACCTTATCTGTCAAATACACTGCTAAAAGTCGCTGAAAAACTTGTTTTCAAAACTCTTGCAGTCAGCTGTCTACAACCATATGTTGCCATGGCTGCCGTGTTCACTGATTCGCCACAACGTGTTGCATTAAAGACTGTAGGGGGAAAATGTGCGTTTTATATTAAGTTGACAGAGTTTTTTTCGCAAATTTAGCAAATGTAAACTATAGCCACAAATCGAGCTTTCAAATGACTATGCGGACTTTATGTTATAAAAACAAGCAGATATCGTTGTAGTTTTGATAGCCAAAACAATTATCCACCTCAAAGCTGAGCACGTAAGGGAGGGGGGTCTATATTTCCTATCTTCCGTTTGTCCATGAATGCAGCATTGCTATTAGCTTATATATTATAGCCAAGAAGCTACGCTGCTATTCAGATTAGTTTTTAGATTATCGATCATAACAGTTATGTCTTTTAAAAGAGAAGGTAATGATAAAAGCCAGCTAAATCTCCTTAAGGTATGGATCAATTTGCAGCATTTTATGTTGGCTTAATAACAGAGACTTCAGCTAAGAGCACACATGCAGCTAGTGTTAGCATCTTTAAGCTAACAACATATTGTAGTTATTTCTTTGGGGGAAAAAATATAGTAATACTTACATACTATCTAACGTTATTCACTTCGTTTTACAGAAACGTCGTGTGGCAGACCTCTTATCTAATTTTATTCCAGAAGATGAGGCTGCTCTTATGAAAAACGGAAGGTGAGGTGAACTTCAAAACATTGATATGTTTGGGAAAGACAAACTTATGTAGCTAATGGCATTACATTTAATGTATCCCCTTATCTTATAGGTACACTTGCCTTGTGTGTTCTTACCGTCCTGTGTTTGATACAGTCGACATGTTGGCAGTCCACAGAAAAGGAAAGAGGCATCTAGACGGTGAGCACCTTGGACCTGTAAAGTTATTTAAAGCAATTTGGGGACCCAGGGGACCTGAAGTTTCGCCCCCAGTCTTATTAAGACGCACTGTATCAAGGGTTAGCTATCTGCACAGCATTTCTATCCCTTGTCTTTCGCCCTATTTATTGAGACAGTGCCCCATATTTTAAATGGCTCTGCATTTCTAAAGTCAGTGCTGCAGGAGGGGCACTTTTATGAGGTCGTGCTATCATCTGAGATGCTGTGAAGTGCAGGTTAATATGCCATCCTTGCTACATATGCTACACAAAATCAGAGGAATACAGATGCATAAACTATGCATATTTAATAGAATCTGCTGAAAACTAAAAGAAAATACAACACTGAAGACTGAAAAGCTACTTGTGAGAGGGAGAAGCTACATAACTGAGGATCAAAGAAAGAGATGTGCTGGTCAGTAGTTGTGTCCTCAGTAAAATGCCAATGAAGTCATCAGGCAAAACAACAGTCAAAACAAGACCTGTGTTGTAATTTGATGCAGCAGTTGAGAACCCAACATGAGATGAGTAAATGAATACACTCAATAAAGCTCAAAAGCAGCAGCTAGGGGGAAATTATGCATTGCATTTGTAGATAATCAAGTCAAGATAACAAAGAGTTGAAATATTGGAAAGTTCAGTAGTTTTTGGATTGCGTCATTGGTAAGCTGTTTTTGTGTGTCTTTTCTAATGCTGCGTCACAAAGAGTAGTTTTGCTTTTCAAATTATCTGGATTTGATATCCCCTCATTATTTGGAAGAATTAAAAACCCAAACGATGATACATTGTAGCACTTTTTTACGCTAAAACTGCATATTTACAAGTACATAGGGATAAGTAAAAATTCCATGCTTTTGAATTTGTTAGTTTTTCCATCACTTTAAATGGCTGTCAAACAAATTGTACTCTTTAAGTATCAGAGTCTTGTACAACTATCTAATTTTTCTTCACCTCATTTTTTTTTTTTTTGACTGTTTAAATATCCAACTTTTCTCATTCGGAAAAGCAAAACTCTGTCTGTTGTCTCTTACACAAACAGTCAAAGACAAGCATTTGTACCCTGGAGGTTTTCTTTATTTTCTGATGATTCACTTGAAAAAATGCCGGAAAGTGTATTTTGAATAAGGGTATCACCGTATAACATTTTTGTTAGATAAGTTACAGCATATAAAAAGTGTTGTTTTTACCTACATTTCGATACCAGTTTAATTTCTACAGTATGAAGGTAAAGTTTTGCATGTCTTCATTATATATACCAAACTTGCTGTACTTCAAAGGGAAACGAGTATGACTTTTTTTCAGGTTTGGTTCATTTTACATTGACTTTTTAGTAAACCCAATTGTTTGTTGTGTGTTCTACTCAGGGCTAAAAGCATTTTATGGCAAGAAAGCACGGCTGAAGACTGAAATAACAAAACGGCAACATGAAAACTATGTCCAGGCAGAAGAAAAAAGGCAGGTCGGTAACTGTTAATCATGCGTTCTCTGTCAAGGTTACAAGTCTCTCATAGCCAACAGAAAAAAGCTGTGTGTTTAACAAAGCAACAACAGATGAGAACCAGCTGGGTCATTCTGCCAGCAGACGGTCAATGAATCATCACAGGAAAAACATCACGAGCTCAACAGATGTAATCTTTCATTACTGCATGACATTGTTATTCCATGTTGTCTCCTGTTAAATCACTTATGTGGTGCCCGTGTGACTACCATATGACCCTAACAAATTACACCTTACTAAACAATTCAGTGTCGTTGTGTAATGGTGGAAAATATGAGCTACTCTTGTTGTGATTTCAGGAGCCCTCCAGTTCAGCCCCATTACTAGCACAAACACGGAAGCTCACCCATCATGTTTTGCTGAAAACTGTACCATATAACAGCTGTCATAGAAAAACCAGGTGAGTGATTACTTGGTATGAGAGTTGTTGTCTGTATTTAAAGCCATACAATGAAAAAACACAATTTAAATGATTTGTCATTCTTTTTAAGTACAAAATCTGAAAAAGTGACACCAAGTGCCAGCTCAAACCCCAGTGACAACATGACATCTGCGTGCTGGGAGTCTGGCATTTCAGTGAACACGTCACAAAGCAACTCTACTATCTGTTTAACAGGTAAGGTCTGCTAGAGAAAATGTTTTATTGTCAGCCTTTATTTTTAGCAAACCTCGGTCATGATTTTGCTTCAACTCCTTTTGTAGCCAATAACGAGCCACATCCATCAAAAGATACTGCCGAATGTCAGGCTGCAGAGAGACAGGAGGCTGAACCCATTACTGCTCAGAGGAAGAGGGAGCTGGAGCACTATCTCAAACTGAAAAGGTGCCTAAATGTTGTGGGACTTTCACTTTCTAATGTTGTACATTTTCACTACTTTTATCACATCTGCATGTAGGTCACTATTCGATTTTCAGTGCATTTCATCTATTTTTGTTGTTGTTGTTCTTTTATCATAGTGATGGGTGGCTGCAAGACCACAGCGGCAAGTGGGTTAAAGACGAGAATGTCGAGTTTGATTCAGATGAGGAAGAGCCGCTTAGCCTTGCCCCAGCGCCTGCAAATAAATGAGAGCACCAGATGGTGTGGACGCACAGATAAAACCTGTACCATAGTGGTACGTTCACGAGGCACAGTGCTGCATAAAACAGACAGCTCAATGTGAAAAAAATATTTAACAGATTTATTCTGTTCATCAGCCTTTTTATGTTTTGTTTTTTTTAAAGCTACTGAGTGTTCAGCGTCTAACTATTTCTTCCATCCAGGATGTAATCAATAGAAGTTGCTACAGAGTCAGTCTTTATTCAAGTGGCAACTTTTCATATCCAGTTATATTTTATGCTTAAGGCTGAACCTTTGTTGGCTTATCGTAGTCCACCCTGAAAAGCATTGAGTTGCAGGAAAGTGACAAGAATTAACCAATGGTCTCTGAATTTGAGTACTTATAATCCCTAACAGCTTACTTATCAGGGAGGAAATCCCTCTACACCCATAAAGAGTCCCGAATGGAAGATTCTGAAATCATTTACACCTGTGAAAGAGACAAACCGCTCATGTTACCGGCACTTTTCCTTAAAATGTTGTGTGTGAAATTTTTTTTTTTTTTGTTACATTAAAATCCAACACCGCTCCTCCAATCTGTTGAAAAGATTTGTGTAATGTGACCTCTGCTTGTGACCCCCCCACCCCCCCACCCACCCCTCCACCCGACAGGTTGTGCTTCTTCATGTGGGAAGAGCAAGTTTGTCCCGAAGATGTGTTAAGATTTGGCTCTTTTGTCTGCTGTATGTTTGTTTCTCTACTTGCACAAGCAGATTAAGATAACATCAGAATTCTGGCAAAGGTGATTTTGGAAATATTCATATTCGATACGACTGACCAAACTCTTCATGTTATTAAGAAGTTGGAAAATACTCAAATTGGCATTTGCCTGATTATCTGGCAGAAATTCAGACCATTTTTAAAATCTGTATAGAATTTATACATTAAAACATCTGCCTTAGCTTTAAAGACATAAAGATTAAGACTGAAAAAGTCATCCTGGACTGTTGAGCAACTTTCTTCTTTTGTGGTGGATCACTCACAAAACATTGTCCCAACATGTGCGATAGCTCTGTTTTTTACAACTTGTTATTGTAATGTTGTTGGGGGTTTGTGTTCATTAAATGAAATTAGTTTTATAGGAAAGTCATTCTCATTTATGATCACCAGAATGTTCTTTTGCAAAAACATCCTGCCTGAACATGAAACATCTGGAAAGACTGGATAGACTGTGTCATCCTCAGTGACATTAGCCTTACATCTTTTTCATGGCTCCTCTAGAATGAAAGAAGCGGGTTTAAAAGCTCGGGCAACAATTTTCAGCTGAACTTCTCCTGACCTTTATAATTATTGTGGCTATTTTCATTACCCTTTTCTTGTTTATTGTGTCCTTTCCATTTGAGTTCAGTGAGCTCTGTCCGATACGATCAATTCTCAGCCAGCTTTCCTATAAATCAGCAGCAGATTGGCTGTATTGGTGCTAATCTGTGCGTTCGTTTATAGCTCCTCTCAGCACAGTTGGTATAAATTGGATAACATCAGGGTCAGTGGAAGGGGGCAAAGGGACTTAACATGGGTTAGTTTCTGATGACATGGCTAATATGTTTCAGAAGCTCACTCACTTCATTAGTTTGGAGTTAAGAGCGTCACCACGGTCTTAAAACGTCTTTGTAGGGATTTGGAAGTATGTTAGAGCGTTTTAAGACAAATTCAAATCTCATATTTCAGTATTACTGTTTACGAAACAGTAGAAGCATAAATACAATGTGGTGAATACATTTGTGACAGTGTTACAGTCCAAAAATACATCCGTGTTTTACTGGAAACTAAGAAGTGGAAGAGAAACTCTCAGAATAGATGTGGTAAGGCAACACTGACTTGAAAGTTTTACACAAAGCCAAATGTCAGTGAAGCTTGCAGTTTTAAAATGTGACCTTTGAGAAATCTAAAAAGCATATGTGGTCTCGTCAAACTTGACATTAGGTGAGAAGTCTTTCAAGAAATGGATTAATGAAACGAGAGGTGGAAGGCAGGGATGCAAGCAATGCTGTGAAAATCCTGAGAGGTTAGCAGCTGTTTCTGCTCATAAATTTCTGTGGGTGCATTAGGGTGCAACCCTCTTAAAGTTAGTTCTTATATTTGGAACAAGGTAACTCAAGCTCAGTGGGCTAGGATCCGTTTCACATTTGCGTTGGGCCGGGTGGGATGTAAAAATAGCTCAGGTGCCTGGAGGAAGTGTAAAGATCAGAAGAAACTGTAAGAGATTAAAGGGCTGTGATTTATTAAATCAAGGGTTTTTGGGGGCGGGTACCTAAAATGCTGTATGTGTTAGTTTTAGGAAATAATTTCATATAATATTTGCCACAGAAAATGAGATTATGATTGTAGCAGTTACGATTATGTATAGTGCTGTGAAAAACTATTTGCACCCCTTCTGATTTCTTAAATGTTTCAGATCATCAAGTAACTTTTAATATTAGACGAAGATAACCTGTAGAATGCAGTTTTTAAAGATTATTTCGTTTATTAAGGGGAAAAGAGTTATCCAAACCTACTTGCCGCCTAACCCTCATAACTGGTTGTGCCACCCATGACGGCAAAAACTGCAACCAAGCTTTTGTAAGGAATTTTGAATTGAAGGGATGAAGAATTTTGGTCTGCTGTTCTTTGCAGAATAGTTTTCATGCAGTCACACTGGAGAGTTTTCCTGCATGAACCTGTTTAACGACTCAGTTTTGCTGCCTAAGTGGGCTTGATGCTTCAGGTCATGAAATGATGGCCAGACATTCTGATATTCTGATTCACGGTTCCATCAGTTACCAATCCTGAAGCACTAAAGTGCAAGCCCCAAACCATCACACTGCCACCACCAGGTTTGACTGTTGGTTTGCTGTTGTTTTTTTATGAAATGCTGTTAGCTTTGTGCCAGATTTACCCCACTCAAGCCTTCCAGAAAGTTCAGCTTTGTCTCATCAGTCCCCCAACATTTTCACCAAAGTCTTGGAGATCATCAAGATGTTTTTTGGGGGAAAATATGAGATGAGCCTTTGTGTTCTTTTTGGTCAGCTGTGATTTCTCTCTTTGGAACTCTCCAATGGATACCATTTTTGCCCACTCTCTTTGTTATTGTTCAATCATAAGGGAGGCTTTTGGTTCTTTAGATGTTATGCTGGGTTCCTTCGTGACCTCCAGGATGAGTTCTTGATGTCCTCTTGGAGTCATTTTGGTAGGTTGGCAATTTCTGGTACGGTTCACCATTGTTCTAAGTTTGGTCCATTTGGGGATAATGGCTCTCACTGTGGTTCGTTGGAGTCCCAAAGCCTTCCCATATAGATGTCAAGGACTTTGTTTTTCTTCTGTTCTTGAGTCTAAATTGAACTCAGTTTTCCAAAAAAAGGTGGTTAATCACGGATGTTAATTCATTGTTTACAAGATGGCAATTATTTGATGGACACAATTTGGAAAAAAAAATGCTGTCACTTTTGTAAACAGCAGTTTGTCCAGTATCAGTGGTTCAAATACAGATTACTTTAAGACAATTACTTTACTTACTTTATGTAAATCCAACTCACAACCTGTAGATAGTCTCCTTAAATGTGCCAAACTATATGATTTTTTTTCTTGGTGCATTTAAAACAATATTAGTCGAGTATAATATTTATGTGTGCAATAAGAATTAGAAACAATAAAATTAAACTTACCAAACAATTACAAAAAATAATCGAATATATATTTTTATTTAAAGTATTTACAGATTTCTCCCCCCTCTCCCACAGATGATATAGCACCACATTGAGTTAGTGAATGAAAGTAGTTAACTATTTGTTTGGGTTGATGTTGGTGACGCATAAACTAAAAGCACAAAAAAGACACTTCAGGTTGTGCTTGTGATCTATACATGCCTTTATGAGAAATTCAGCAACCTACAAAACTCTTGCTGCAGTAAATGAAATGAATGGTTGAACATGGATGTTAGACATGGTTTCCCCCAGGCACAGTGACCAGAATTAATTTGGGAGAATTCATTCAGCTCTGCTGCCCCACAGTGACAAGAGTCATCTGTTTTTGCAGGCTCCGAGGGGCTAATGGTTGCTCTTCTGCTCACCCCTTGTCGTGTTCATCTTAATCTTTGCTGACGAACTATGTAAAAGAGAGAAGATGCCGATTTCATATTCTGTTGCACAATCCAATAACACTTTAAATGATTCCTTGTATTGTACATGAATATTTCAAGACTATCTGACCATGGATTCAGGTTTCTTACTCATGTCATTGTTTCGTGTGATGGCCATGGCGGCTCTGGCTCGGGGACCCTGCTGGGTGAAGTGGTAGCCAAATCTCAGGATACTGGAGTTGTTCTCCAACATGGAGGCAATCTCCATCTCAACTGAGTCTCCAAGTTTTTGTCGCTATATGATACATGAAAGGATAACACAATCAAGCACTGAGTCCTAAATTTCCATTGTGAATTAAATTTGAAAGCAGTAAGAAAGCATGTCATTGGGTATGAGTATTAACTCAGTTATTTCATACTTGGACAATAAAAATTAGGATGTCTTGTTTTGGTTGCTGTGCATAAGTCTTTTTTTTTTAGATGTTACCATGAAAATGGGAAATGCATGCATTGATGGAAATGGCAAAGTCTGCACAGTTGTAATGAGCTTGAAAATTAATAGTTGGTGTTACCACCATTTTTCTTCTTTTAGGCAGACTTGTAATTTTTTAAAAATAGTCTTCAGGAACAGTTCTCCAGGCTTCTTGAAGGACATTTAAAGCTCCTCTGCCAAGATGATCCCACACTGCTTCAGTAATGTTCAGGTCCAGCCTCTGGGAAGGTCATTCCTTGTTTCATTGTGTTTTTCAATTAAATTTCTTTCTTTTTTTTAGATTACACTGCACATCATGCTGAAATATGCCAAGTCTTCGGCTAATAGCTCTTTTGGAATCGCTTTTTTGGTACAAAATTACAATTTAATGTCTGTAAAACTGTAGTTGTTGGCATTGTTTTGCACACAAATGGTACGTTTGTGTGCCAGGCTTAAATTATTCTACAGGTGAGTGTTAAAGTGGCTTGCAAATTATCAGCTGTAGATGCACAGCATGTCCAATAATTTGTTTCTAACCTGGTTGTCAATCTTGAACTCAATCAGTGTGGCGTTATTAGCCATTGCTTTGATGATCGCCATCATGCCGTCTGCAGTGATGAAGTTAGACTCGATGTTAAGACTCTGTAAGCTGGTGTTCTCCTGCAGCATCTCAGCACATGCCTAGAAACACAGATAGAAACGCACATTGAAACTATATTTTTCTTCCACATTTTAAGGACTTAAAAATATTTTTTATAGTCAGGTGGCAGAGTTTAGTTTACCATAGTGCATCTGAAGATCAGGTGACAAAGAAAAGGAAAAGGAGATCTTTATAGAATCTGAAGGAAAACTTCAGTCATTGCAATTAATCTCTTTTTATGTGAAACAATAATAGTCAAGTCAAGTCATCTTTATTTATATAGCACATTTAAAAGACATCAAGTGTCGGCCAAAGTGCTGAACAGAGGGATAATATAATAAAAGAATTAAAATAGAAAGAAAACATTTTTTTAAAAAAAAAGAATTGTAAGACATGTGATATTAAAGAGATCCAAAAACCTTGGAAAATAAGTAGGTCTTGAGATTCGATTTAAAGACTTCCAAGGATGAAGAGAATTTTATGAAGGGGGGAAGACTATTCCAGAGTCTTGGGGCGGCAATGGAGAAAGCCCTGTCACCTCTAGATTTGAGCTGGGAGCGTGGAACTGATAAAACCATCTGACTGGAGGAGCGCAGAGATCGAGTGGGTAAGTGCATGCTAAGAAGATCTGAAATGTAACCTGGAGCCAAACCATGGAGGGCTTAAAAAACAAATAATAAAACCTTCAAATCGATTCTATGTTTAACTGGTAGCCAATGTAGAGATGCGAGGACTGGGGTAATATTCTCTCTCTTTCTAGTACCCGTCAGGAGCCTTGCGGCTGCATTTTGAACAAGTTGCAGGCGTGACAGGCTTGAGTGACAAATACCTAAATAATAACACAGTAGAGGTACAACAGTACCTTAAGTTGATATTTTACACTACAAATAAATATCCTCTAATACCCTCAATCAAGAGTCATTCAGTAAACAAACAGATCTATAGCTAGAATGAGATATAAACTGTAATACATTTCTAAGATTTTTATATCAAAGAAATACATACCATAAAAATTATTATTATATTATATATTATATTATTATAAAATTTAAACTTTGAGGAAATTTGCTGTCATTGGCAAGCAGTTGATAATTACAGTGGGTAATTTACTCACATATGCCACAGGGTCGTTGCTTCGGGTTGCAGCGATGCTCAGAAACTCCACGTGAGAGTTTCCTTTCATCGCTTCAAAGATCTCTTTTAGTGTTGGGATGGGAATGTCCTGCAAGGAAAATACGGGGATGTTCAGTTCACAAACAAGGAATACTTGATAAGCTTGCAGATCTGGGTTTTGCAGCCAAGGATCAGTATAGCAAATGACATGAGCTGGTTCACTGAAACGATTGTGTAATATTTGTTGTCATATGGGAAATTAATCTTGTTTGGGAGTTTAAGGACTCTGAGTCCAGCTTCAAGTTCCTTTTGACAATTTTTTTTTATCTGTGCATAATTTTTCCATAATTGTGACGTTCCAATGAGCTGACCTTGATGTTGTTAAGGTTGACTTCAGTCAGGCTGCTATCATTGTTGTGAATTCTCTCCAGGGTTTCCTCCACATTGGTGGGGTTTGGAGGTTCTTCAGGGAAGACCTTGAAGGGATCTGCTTTCACAACGCCTGAAGGAGATAAATGATCACAACTGAGGCTACAGTGTAAACGGTACACAATAAAACATACAGTACTGTCACATGTCTGTCTGCATTTCATTTTAACGTCTGTCTGTGTGAGTATAAGCAGTAGCTCATGAATGTCTTTGGCTTTCAGACATACTGTTGATGCCCTCGGTGTTGGCGATGGTGCCTGTGGTGCCCAGAGCATCGTAGTACTGCTTGTTACTCATCAGCGTGTACATTCCAAGGATAGCTGTAAATACAGGAAAACAATCACCATGAATACATTCAGATAAAAATATCTATACTATTTGAATAAAATCAGAGAGTTGTGCCCCTGTTAGACTTATTTTTTTAGCTAGTTTAAATGGTGTGTCCTGTGTCCCTGTACTGATATACCAAAGGCAAGTTTGTTAATATTGCTTTGCTAGGAAAAAATGTTTCTGTGGCGAGGACAAAACCTAAAGTGCCACAGTTAGTTTTTCCTTTTCCTTCATCTCCTGTGTGTGTCTATGTGTGTGTGCACGGGTGTTTGATGAGATAAGGAAACTGTTGTCTGAGTTCTGTGGGGACCTCTAGTCTTACACTTTCGAGGGGCCCCCAAGGAAGTAAAGATACCCTGCACAATACACAACTTTCAGGGTCAAGCTGTGGGCCTCTAGAATTCTTAGTGTTATTATAGCTGACATTGAGACAGTGTTAATTTGTGACCACACGAAGTTAGAAGAAGAGAAGACTCTATATAGGGGCACCTAAAGTATCTGTCAGGTCAAACTAATCCTAAAAATACATCAATAGCAAGTATTTAGAAAAGGTGAAGGAAGTACTGCTTTTCTTAAGTAACACTAACTGTCTTTGCATCATTCCTGTTGCATTAAGTTGAAGTTATAGTTCAGTGTCCACCGGCTTTTTTGTTTTCCTGTTTTTAGGTTTGTTATGGAGGTTGCCAGTGGTCACAATCAGCAATATGCTGACCCATGTCTGTCAGCTGTTTGATGTGGTAGTGCAGGACGGGTGTATTGCATTTTGATTTTCTTAAACAGCTGACACCTCAGCAAAACAAAAACAATAACACTGCAGGACAATAAAACCAAGACATTCACGTGATGCACAATAATTGTGTTCAGCGTTAGATGTTAAAAATAATTATTTATACCTTTGTTGTTTTACAGTAACTGCTAACATATGCTAAAATTGTGATGTAAAAAGATATTCTACTGCTTTTACATGTTATACCTCTAAGCTTAACTGTATAGCAACATGAGCTGATCATAAATGCTATAAAGACCATTTCAAAATACAAAGAATACCCGTGATATTAGAGTAGTAATGTCAAAGTAGCATTTACTGCTGAAATGTAGCAAAGAGGAACCCAAACTGGAAATAATAAAATATTAAATAAGAACCACACAATCTGCATATTAGTGCAGGAGTTAGTATTGTGTTATTTTATTGTGTTTAATATGCACTGTAATATTATAGTATCATAATATTCACGGTAGTTTTAGTAGTTTGAAGATTAGGTGACAATATACTGTGATAATTTTTTCCCCCAATTTCTGCAGTTTATCATTGGATAAAATTACTGTTGTCTTCATTATTATATTCATGTGAACTAGAAAAAAAATAGAACTTACGCAAAAAAATAGGACTTACACTTATATAAAATATTTACAAATGAATACCTTCTACAGCTGTTGAATCGGGGCTTCTTTTTCTACTGCTGTTACTCTTTACAACCAGGAGGAGGCAGACTTCAAGTTTTGTGTTTTGTTTTTTTTTTTGCTCTTGTCAAAACCTGCCAGGTCCAAAGTCTCTGACAAACCAACTGCTGTGACAGCAACACCTCCCTGCATAGCACCTTCCCACCAACCTCCTCATTCAATGTTGGAGTGTTTCTAACCATGGGAAGGTCCTTGTGTGTGTGTGTGTGTGTGTGTGTGTGTGTGTGTGTGTGTGTAGCGGTTAAGGGGAGTATTTGCCATGGACACCCATGCCATCCTAAAGTGGCTAAATACGCTAACAACAACCTAAAAAAAATTAATGCTGGAATTCTTTTAAATAAACTGAGATAAATCTCAATAAATCAAGACAAGATCAATTTAAACCAATTAAAATAAACTGCTATTGTCTTATATAAATCAAAATCCTTAAGTGATTTGTTGGACATGCCAGCCAGGCTATTCACTCCCTTCAGTCTGTTTGCCAGAAAGCCCCAACAATAGACTGACAGAGGCTAACCGAGGTTTAATCCCCATCTGGACTCTATCCAAGCTTAAAACGGCGGTCTCTCTGTCAGACTCATGGTGCTGGACAAACATGTTCCCCTACTATGCCTTTCCGGATGCCTGCCTGCCTGTTTGGCACATCAGGGGAGTCTAACCGCCTGTTCAGGGTTTCACACTCAATAAAGCATGTTTTATGTTTCAGTTTGACTTTGCCTAAAATACCATCCAGCATTTAGGATTAATGGTGTGTAGAGGATTTTAGAAAATCTAAGGTTTTCTGTTTTAATTTTTTCTGCATTTGCAAAGCAGCTCTCCCAAATAGGTCTTGTCCAATTACTGATGAGCAACGTAACTCACTGAGGAAGGCTGTAAGGGTTTTGATTTCTCTCTGACATTTAAGAAACCCAGAAAGGGCATTGCACAGGATACTGTTAACTTTGACAAAGCTGCAGTTGTCATACTGTCACTACATTTTCTTTAGTTTGGCTGTTTACCACTACTACTAACCTAAGATGCATTAGTACATTAAAAAATGTCAAAATCACCTCTTAAATGGTTTTATTATTCAAGAACAAAGCAATCCAACAAGTGTGAACTTTAATTTCAAGTTTCTGGAAACATGGAAAACTGAGGCTTTATCTGCAAACACAGTATGTTTTAAACAGATACAATATCTTTGCCTCCACCATCCCCATGTCCACTCCACCCTTCCTTCGGTGGCCTGGAGCCAGACCTATTTATTTTTGTGTTGCTGAGCGTGGGGAATTGGACCCCGTCACATGTTTGGCCATGTCATTAACCGAGCTGTCTCAGTGTTGAGGGAAACAATATAAAGCTAGCAGTAGAAAGAGAATGGATCTGTATAATAGAACTATGTGGGTCAAAGCCGCTGTGATGAAAACACCAAGGTCACAGTATGCTGTGCATGTCATTGTTGGTTAATAAGCACCAACTGGTGGGAAATTGCATGAGGACAAACAGATGACATCACACAAAAAAAGATGTAATTACAGACATTTTTGCATGTCATAGGTGAGTCGGGGTCTTGGTGTTATGAATGCCGGCTCATTAGTACGGCTTACTGGGATAGAACCACTGCTAATATTCACATTTAACACTTTATTTTACCCATTTCATCTCTCACAAAAGTAAAAGAGGGCAATGGCTCTGGCTTCAAAAAGATCTTTGGTTATGTAGACGTCTATGAGAAAATGACCCTTCAGCTCCTTTGTCTGTGATCTCAGTAAACATTTCCCTAACAAGTTTACGGTCTCAGTCTCTAGTTCCAAATCTTATCAAATAAAAACAATGTTCATTTTATAAATTATAGTCCTCATTACAGTTGGAATGAATGATAAAGCAGCGTATGCTTTACTTCACAAGTTGCTGAGCATGCACTGTTCCTTGATTTCTCAGTCAGATCTGTTCACTGGACACGATGAGCAGATCTGACTGAGAAATCTGTCTCCTATTGTATGTATCTGATTCAAGAAGGCAACACTGGTTCCCCTCATTACAGTATTAGGGAGAGAACAAACTAAAGCACTATTCTTTAAATTTGAGATTGCTGTTATGTTTTGTCTTTTGTGCATCCTGGGATAAACTGCCACCCTGTCCAGTATGCACCCGACCTCTCCAACTTCCCTGCAAGCCTCCACTGGATAAGGTGATGGATGGATACATAGGTTTTTTTTCTAAGAACTTGTGATCAGAGTAATAGTTGCAGTTCCCTTTTACCTGTGATTACCTGTAGGATCGTTAGATGTTTAGCTCCTGAAATACAGACTAAATATAGATTTTGGAATTATCTGCAGCCTGATAAAGCCTGTCATAAAAGCGCACTGTTTACTAAGTTGCACTTGTAAAAAACCAATGTATATAGTATATATACTGCATAAGTATAGTGCTGCCATTGCTATTAAAACAATTAGTAGTAATAGTAAACAGTAGCAATAGTAAATCTTACCTGCAATATCGCACATCTCTGCATCAGTGGCATTTTTCAAGGCCTCCTCTAGCTCTGGTTCCAGGATCACCTGCTCATGCAGGGGGATCTCTGGTGCTTCCTTGGCCACAAAAGGCTTTCCTAGATACAGAAAGAAAAAGATGATAAATAAGAAGACAAAGGCAGGCAAAAGGGTAGCAAAAGCCAAAAAAGGTAGTTAAAAAAAACTACAAAATATCTGATGTTTGTTTATAAATATATTTCTTAATGAAGTTATCTATCTAATAATTTCACTTCTCATAAAAGCTTTATTTGTATGATTTTTCCCAAAACATATCACAAATGGAGCTTTAATAAACGCAGGTTTCACTTAATCCTACACGGTGCTTTCTCAGCTCTTTTTTGTGCTCATTTATCTTCACAATTTCAGTGGTGAATCCCAAGAACATCTGCTTTTTGCATCACTAGTTTCCATTTATTGCAAATTCTATTGTTGATATTAGTGACTAACTATACCCAATTGAAAGGGAAGATATTGAAAGTGCTTAGATAGATTTTTACTGTATGTTCAAACTTTAGCCCGAAAACAAAATTAAATGACTTGCTGCATATTATGTAATGGGACACCTACATAAATCCTCAGACAAAGAATCTGCTTTCCCACCTTTCTTTTCACCGGTGAAGGGCACCAGGTCCTCCCTGTCCTCGTGCTCCAGGGCCTGCTTCTCCAGGTGCTTCATCAGGGCGTCACGGTCATATGGCCCCGTCGGGGTCTTCTTTGTCTGATCTCGTTGCCGAAAGCCAGCTGGCAGCATGGCATTCTGGGAGAACATCGGATCATATTATGGGAAAATAAGACTAAATTAGTAGAAAGTTTTAGGTATATCAAATGATCTGAACAGAGAAGTAGCAGAATTTATTACCCAAATGTGATAAGTGAGAGACCCATTAAAAACTTTTTCTTTTATGAAAGAAGTCACTAAAATGAAATGTAACCCATGCACTTTCTGCATGGTAGAACCATGTTATTTTATCTTTATAATTGGGTAATGTTTGATATGGCAACACTATAGTTTACTGACTGAGAGGTATGCTTTAAAGCTTCATCATTTGCTTTTACTCTGCTGCTAGTAAAAAAATTACAAGTAACAAAGTCAATCATTGGTAGGGTAAAAAAAAATGTAGTTCTTGCTTTAGATGTCACATACTTCCCACATGTCTGATGGTTAACAAGCTACTCCTGATGTCGGGTAGATTTTAGGCACAAAGGTAAGACTTGAATGTCAGGAACCAGCTATTAAAGCCCCGTGACACTGGAAAAGCAGGTTTTAGGTCAAATCATCCATACCTCAGGGTCCATCTCCTGCAGCTCATACTCCAGCTGATCCAGCTCCGCGGCACTAAGGCCTTTGAGGATGGCATCCTCATCAATGTCCCTGGGGTCTGACATGGTTCCTGAGGCTGTGACTCACATATACACACACACACTCATACACACTGCTGCGCACCCCTGGGTGAGAGGGCACTGCCAATAAAAAAGGGGGAAAAGGAAGAGAGGACAATCAATCTTTATACTCTCTTTAATCTAAAATCTTTTTTCGGTCGTACCATGGCTTCTTTTACTGTGTCCTATTTCCAACCCTCTTTTACTTATCTTGTGCTCTTACAATAATATCAGTTTCATTGTAAAAAGCTTAGCTTTGACAATTAATCATGCAAGACAAAGGAGTGACTGAGTACTGTATTACTATAGCCTACATTAAACATGTTGCAGTGTAAACACAGGCTTTTGAAATCCTCAGCCAGATGCTAACGGAGGATGTTACAGCTCATGGTCATAAAGCTTAATCCGCAGATCTTCTGACTATATAAGTAAATGATAAACCACCCAGCTCTTATTTTATATGGGATCCTCTTGGAAACCTGTCAATGACCACAGGGGGTCCCCTTCTTTGCATTTTGTCAACCACTGTCCTTGGCAAGTTGCGTCATGATCTCCTATCAGCTGCCCTACCCAGAGTGCTTCAATAATGCTATTATGATAATAATAGATGCGCTTCCAATAATACATCTGCAATACTCAGGAAAGCAGTGTCTGTGGAAATATGCTACAGCAGCCCCCAGATCACATTCTTGCGTAGTCTTTATTTTCACCTTAAAGCAAACTGCAGCAGAAGAGCCCACTGATGCTTTGCAGTTTTAACAGGAGAGACTCAGCGACACGAAGAAGTGTAAGCAACGAAAGACTGAGAGCGAGAATGAGGTCTTTGTAACTTTAAACCCTCAGCTTACCACACAGTGACTAAGAATAGTCAAATGGAGAGAAGAGAGGAGTGGAAAGTGCAATCCCTTATTTATCATTGACAGACACTCGTTGATACCGTTGTGGACCCACCCGAAACATATCTGCACCCAGGGATGAAAACTCAGTGACACAGTTATGCTTTTGACACATTAAAACATTACAGTTAATTCACACCAGCCTCAAATAACAAAGAGCGTGGTCTACATACAACACCACAGGGCTCCCCAAACACGAAAATACCACAGTGATAGAACATGTATACATCTGGGTCAAAGTATGAGTAATACAGCTATCAGGTTAAAGGGCCAGTGTTTTCATTTTCACTCCAAATTTTTCCCCAACTTGGTCACAGAGCGAAAACCATTGCAGATCAGGTCATACAATATTGTATTTTGCAGGCAGTCTGCTAGCGTGATGTCAGAAACCACTCACATCTATAACTCCGAGTGTTTTATAGCAGGCAGTTCTTTTGCATGACAACATAATCATGTGCTCAAGGATGGATTAGGACAGCATAATTCGGAGTAACTTTCCACTATCCAAAGTGATCTGAAAAGTGTACTTTTCCAGCACTCAAATAACTCTATTGTGGTTGCGGGGTTTTGTGTTTCAGGGTGCTCTTGCTCTTTATTTTCATTTATACTGAAACAAAGTTTGTCGAAACACATTCAAGATGGTCCAAATTAGTGACTGCATATGTGCAGCAGATGTCAAGTTTCTCATTTCTATTTTTATTGGAAATGAGAAACTTTCCACTTAATTGAGAATAAAAGCTGTGAATCAAAATATAAATTATTTATAACAATGGTTTACAACATACAAATGAGCCACATCCTCTTTTAAGATTTTCACTTGTTTTCTTGATCATTGTTTTCTCAAAACAAAAGCACAAACACATGAAAAAGCTGAAACATTTAACACACAAAATTTCTGATATGAAAAGTTGAATAAGGACATCGGCCTGAGGTGGAAAGGCACACCTTGTGTTTGTTTGTAAGGCCCTGTGAGTTTGTTGTGTCACCAGAGTTTCTCTAGAAAGTCAGTAAAAAATAATGTCCTGACACAACACAACCAAATGAGTTGGTTTCCCTGACGACGCCATGGGAACTAGGTTACCATGGAAATAAAACTAAACTGCACTGTTCTGCATTATTCCAGAAACTCTAAATAACTTTGCGATTAATGGGCATTCTATTCTATTCTATTCTATTCTACTCTACTCTACTCTACTCTATTCTATTCTATTCTACTCTATTCTATTCTTCATAAAGCATCTGAGACTGAAAGCTTGTTTGTGTTCTTAGAGTCACTGATCAGGTTACATTTTATTAGAAAGGGCAGACAGACACACACAAACACACACACAAGCACACAAATACGCATACACATACAGGACAAAACAATGACATACATCAATTTCACAGACCTAACCTAACCAAAAGCCATGTTTCTACCCATAAAATTTTAAATCTTTATTGTGGGGATTTCTTTTCCTGCCCACAGTAAAGTCTAGTCCCCACACATAATGTGACTGTGTAATACTGAGTACTGTGTATACACATATGAGTGAAAACTATGAATACAGAGTTTTTTAAACAAGATATAGGCCATTAAATTATATTGTACACCACAAAAAGACATATACTAAAGTATATCTTTATTTTCATCAACACTGTGTGCCTCCAATGTGTAAAGCCAGGGACGCAAACACTGGATCGCATAAACGAGTGTTGAGGAAGATAGAGGAGATTTAAAAGATTCAGCTTACAGGACAAGGTGGAGCATCAATCTACTTAGACTCACTTTTTACCACGGATGAAAGGTTTTACCAGTCTCTTGACAGTAAAGCTCCCCCAGCTCTTTAAACTAGACTCATAGCTATAAAAAAAACCACTAAATATCAGTCAGCTACAGAGTCATTCGTCTTTTGCTGGACCATCATGTCACAGATGCAGACAAAAATGCTTTAATGTGACTTCAGATCAATAAAAGTCATTACAGTGAACTCCTTTTTTAAAATGCCTTTTTTTTCACAGAACACTGTCTGGTAATCTGTCAAATCAAATCAATAAATTGGTAAATTTAAAGATGCATTGTGGGGCTTTTTTCTATAATAAAAAGAAAACTAATGATGTAATCTGCAATGCCTGATAAATGTCATTTTTTACCTATTCATATATATTTATGTTATTCTGACTCATTCATTTGAAGCCGGCAGTGTAATAAATCCAAAACATTGTGACATAAAAAAAATGAGGCCAACTAGATCATTCATTTTTCCCTTTTTTTTAAAGTGAAAAAGTGAAAGGACTGGATATTACACTGGTTTCTGGCCAAACTCAGCTCATGTGATTTGCCTGCTGTCAAGCCTTTGAGCCTTACTTATTGATGAGCTAAATACATGGCTGTTCTGACACTTGAGCTGAGATTGAGGGCTCAGACAACTGGATACCAACAACCTGCCAGCGCCGAAGAACATATTTTCTTAACTTATAGAGGCTTGAAGGGTCCCTTAATCACAAAGGGAAGATAGATTAGCGGGAAAATGACAAATCAGAAAGCTAACCTTCAAAGTATCAAAAGGCAAAACTACCACCGAGACATGAAAACTACAAAACAGAGTCAAAACTTTACAATTTTGAGGGAATTGCTTGCTGTCAGCTTTGGTAGACTATAGAAAATAGCACTCTGGTAAACTAACAGTCTGATCAAATGATGTGTTTTGACACATTCCAGGAAGCCCCTGTCCACATTGGAAACAGATGGTGCATTTGTGCACATGCATCTGTCTCCAGCTGTCCCAGCAGGGTTTCTGCATGATAGAAAGCAAAGTGGGTGTGGAGCAGTGCAGCGACCGTCACCTGCCGCTGCCAGCTGGCTCTGGACTGTTCTTTTTCCAGTTAAAATCTCAACCATGTCCTGCACCTGCAGCTGCTCTAGTTATAGGAGTCGTGACCTCAGCTAAGCCTGGCTATAAATGTACAGCTACATGTTATTGATGTTTCACTGAAATACATTTTTTTTCACCTTTTGTGAAATCAAAAAAGTCCAATGGGTCATATTTTTTCTGTTGTGATCTGAAAAAGTTTTTTTTTTCAAATTCAGATAAATTAGATCCTTTGTTTCAGATAAGACTGTGTCATTTTACCTTAAACGGTCTCTTGAGATAAGTACTGCTTTTGTAAGCAGCATTCAATCCAGGTCCCTTTTAACCCATTGCTTTGACTCATTTGTATAAACTGTTTTTGTATCAAGTAATTCTACCTACTAAAAATTAAAACTAGAAACTAAATGTTATTTTAGCTGTAAATCAAAGACTGTCGCTATTGACATATCCCCCACTATCCTTTGATTAGATCACACCTATGCAGGCCAACTTCATATAACTTGCTCAAAGGGAGCAAAAGTCCAGTCAGTCAGAATAACTGAGCTCACGGGGCAAATTTCAGCTAAGACTGATAAGCACACGGAGTTTTCCTCAACAGGAACAGACGCCTGGTCTCCACTCCCCTTGATGACTGCACCTATTAAGCCAGTGTTACAGTTTCTGCATCTACAACTATGCCCGCTTGGGTCCAAGTGACATAAATTTGTTTTGATCACACAAACTTGTTTGAGCAGACACTCCACTACACTGTGCACTGCTCAGGCACAATGTAGTGTCTCCAGGCATATGCCAAGAAGACCTGTAAAAAGTGGAATAAGAACAACTGCTCATCCGTGGTGTCTGCAGCTGTCAGTGTGTGTGTCTGCAACAGTTAAAATCCTGCCCTTACAAACCTTCTATCTCAAGCCATCTATTGAGTTTCTAAGCATTTTCATAACTATGTTGTCTACAGCAGCTCAAGTATTGAGAGATTTCAATGCTTGAACTTCTGTGAAGTTATTTGAAGAAAGAAATGGGTGCAGCTTCATTTTGGAGCAACGATTGTTAGAGGTCTGAAGGATAAAAGCACTTATTGTGAATGCATTAAACCCATAACTCACTATAAGGTAACTTTTATCATCGTATAACTTTTATCATATTTAATTTAATTGCAAGGAGTTCTAATGAATAGATGTCAAAGTACTGCATTTAAGCAGGCAGCAGGGATGAGTTACAGTGCATTTTACAAGTAAAAGACCATTACAAGCGTCTCGATTTCATAGTGACAAAGGTTACGCACTCATAAATGCTCCAAGATGATTTACACTCTGCTTCTGTGTCAGTGCATTATCTTTCCTGGAACATAAATAAACTTTAAAGGGATTCCAAATACTGTACTGCACTGTTTCCCTTGCTCTTTTGGTAGATCCAATTTTCTGTAACGTTAGCAGAAATAGTTTTTTTTCTTTTTGCTCGTGAGCAGGCTAAGGCCTTGTTCTGCCACCGAGAGCTCAGAAGATTTGTCACCAACAGTGAGCCATCTTCTCCACGTCTTACCGACCAAGTGTAACATTCCAAATCACCCTTCAGCTTAATTTTAGCTTCACAAGTCAGCTACTTACAGCTGTGTGAATCCTCCCCAGCTTGGGTTGCTCCGTGAGACCAAGTCAGAGCACCATTTTGAGCACCCTAAGAACCACTTTCCTTGGGGGTTCCATTAAAGAAATTCATTTTTTAAGACGTACTGTGGCTTTCACTAACATTGTACCTGAGCCAAAAAGCCCAAAAGGTCCCATCTACATAAAACGAAAGGTCCCTGCTTTTAATATAATTACACCATTCAATCCCAAAAGACAATCTGACCCGGTGATAATAGTAAAACATCAGGCACTAATGGATGTTAAATGGAGAGGACGAGCAGGCCACGTGTAAACTTTAGCCTTTTCTGGTTTCCAAACTTTGCAGACTCCTGAGACAACATCTCCAAATCCCCGGTGACAAATTACTTACACAGTGATGGGCAGCCTACAAATACCATACTGATAGATTCATTTAAGTGAATGTCTTTTAGATGCTATATCTGGGAGAGAAAAAAACAAAAAACTCATTTCTGATTTATAGTTAAATCAACCACAAAAGCACAGAACTTTTTTTTTTTTTTTTACAGAAACACCATATATTTGTCTAGCACCTTTCTCCTATTTTATAAACACCTCATAGTGACACAACAGAGTGTGGATGAAAGAAAGCCCCCCAAAGAGGTAAAGAGAGAGATTAAAGTGTGAATCAACATGCCAGTAAAATCTCACTGAAACAGACACAGAGAGCAGCCTCACACCTACCTTCACAGAAGTGCAGTGCTGAAGCCCCTGGGCAAGGCAGAGCCTGCTGTCAGAGAAACTTGTTTCTCTTTTTTCCCTCCTCTCACTCTCTCTCGACCCCCTATTTCTCCCCCCCACCCCTCTCTCCTGTGTGTCAAGCTTCAGGGCTGCTATGCTGAGACCGGCATACTGACAGCACTTTGAGAAGTCAGCATTTTATTATTTTGGCTGTGTGACGGAGATGGTAGAGAGTCGTGTAGAAAGGGGGGCGAGAGAGCAGAAAGAGAGAGAGACTGAAGTGGGGCATCAACCACATTCATCATTCAATTAAAACTTAGCGGCGGGCAGAAGGAGGATGGCTGACATCTAGTGGTCAGAGCTGAGATGTACATCAAAACGGTAAAACTTCAAACCTTTTTTATTTCAGTAGGTGTTTTGGTTTTGTTTGATTATATTTTATTGTTTTTTTACTTCAGTTGGCAATTCATGTTCTTGGAGTTAAGTTTGCTTTTAATGAAATGTGGTATA